AACTTCTCAGTTACAAGATTGTCCCCACTTCTTATGGAAAACTTCTTATTTAAGAAACTTAAAGTTTCTTCAAATTAAGATTCCTCAGGGCCACACAATAAAATGATCACAGAATCACAGAATCGTTGAACAGTTAGGGTTGGAAAGGACCTTAAGATCATCAAGTTCCAACCCCCCCGCCATGGGCAGGGACACCTCGCTCTAAACCATGGCACCCAAGGCTCTGTCCAACCTGGCCTTGATCCCTCTAGCTTAACTAACCAGCTGTTTCAAAATTAAGAGAACAAAGTTCACCTGGGGATAAATTAATGGTTAATGATCATGCAGATGCACCTATATAATCAACCTTCTCTGTTTTCCCATCTCACTTTGCATCTGAACTGTGTGCACCGTGCTGTTCCTAACACAAACTGCCTGGATGTTACCTCCTTGTTGAAAGGCTGGCAGGCAGCCACAGGGCCACATGTGTGACTACGTACTCCTGTAATTGCACACCCTGCACTCCAGCAGTAGTGCAGCAGTCGTGTCTCGTGCATTTTGTATGGAGCCACGCAGAGGTCACGGACTTTGCAGTCTGTGTCCTGCCTCAACAACAGTCACGATGATGTGAAGATACAGAGATGTGCATCAAAGGGATGCTGAGAGAGGTCACGCCAGGAGCACTGCTCGAAGCTGCAGCAAGCAAAGAGGCTCTGGCACAGTGATGTAAAACCAAACCTCTGGAAAGAAGCAGAACCCTGGCAACGCTCCCAGTACCTTTCCCAAGTACCGCCGAGCACCAGATGGACTTTTTCCAGCAAAGCCACCGATTTTGTGTAACGCAGACAAAAGGCATAGAGGAGTTTGCGGTCCTTAACCAGGGCTCTAGTCAGAGCGAGCTTCCTTTCCCCATACCGGCGTCCAAACCAGAACGTGGAGAACAGAAAGCTCTTTCATCCCTGCATGCACGCACGCAGAGTGGAAGCGTCTAGCCAGTCCCAAGCAAGTCACTGTGGGACTGCAGTGGTTTCAAATAAAAACAGTGTAATGGAGGTATGTTTATGGAAACATCAAATAGAGAAAAGAAAAGCAATGTAAAACATACTCTGCTTTTTTTAAGGCGTATTTAGCATTTTATAAGGTATACTTTCCCAAGTGAGGAATGGAAAATTGCAAAGCCATTGAAAAATACTCAGCCAGGCTCGGTGTTATTAAACCTTCGTTCAGTTCAGTGACTCCATAGAGCTGCTCACTGCACAGTGCATTCTGTGTGAGCCTGCAGTAACAAGAAAAATAGCTTAACACAAGAACGATGCTCTCTTTTGGCATGAAAATTGCAGGCTTTATCAGTGTTGCAGATGCAAATAAGTTTTCCATTCCCACCCTGGCAGACTGTGCTCGTGAGTAACGTCACTGAAGCATTTGCTGCTCTGTCTCCTGCCTTTCTGAAATAAGCCCACTGGCTTACATCACATCATCTTCCACGCAGGAGGTGGGTGTGTGAAAGAGCAAAGGCGCACGTGCCTGTTTCCTGCAATCTCTTATCTCCTAGCCTGTGCCTAAAGCCCAAGCTAGCTATTCCATAGCTTTGCCCTCATTACCCTCAAAAAGTTCTCACTTTTTCACCCTGAATCTTCCTTACTGCAGTTTAAGCCGCATTACCTCTTACATGGTTACAAATATGTGAAGGGTGAGTGTCAGGATGATGGAGCTAGGCTTTTTTCAGTGATGTCCAGTGATAGGACAAGGGGCAATGGGTGCAAACTGGAGCATAGGAGGTTCCATGTGAACATCAGGAAGAACTTCTTTACTGTGAGAGTGACAGAGCACTGGAACAGGTTGCCCAGGGGGGTTGTGGAGTCTCCCACATTGGAGATACTCAAGGCCCGCCTGGACAAGGTCCTGTGTGATGTACTCTAGGTTACCCTGCTCTTGCAGGGGGGTTGGACCAGATGATCTCTTGAGGTCCCTTCCAACCCTTGGGATTCTGTGGTTCTCTGGTCCTACTTTCTCCACAGCAGGAGAACTGAAACAGCCTTTTATAAAGTATTAGAAGATGCCTATTAACATCTCTCCTCCAACCACCTCCAGGCTCAAGCTATTTGCAGGAGTCAACCCCGCAGCAATGCCCTGAAGTTTTCTGTTCCTCACACAGAAATGAGGCTACCTCTACCAGGCATTTTAAAGAAACCTGCACTGCATGTTTTGGGAGAAGGCAACCCCGGATGCTTGTCCGGAGCTCTGAATGCTTCTTCTGGGAAAACATCAGTGCTGTTCTCCTGCAGAGCCACACACAAGGAAGCAGGAAGCATCATTATTTCAAAAGTTATTATTCAGTAATGAAAGCAAAGCATAAATCTCCAAATTCAGGATTAAAGCTGAAAGATATAGGTCTGCAGCAACTAAAAATGCAAAACATTAGGAAAACCATAAATACCTCTGATACACAGATAGACTCCACAACTCATTAAAGATGTAAAGTGCTTTATTCAGCGATGAGGCGCATGGGGGATTGCTCCTCCAAAAGCATGCGCACCCTCCCTTTGCCACTCTGTTTATATTACATATAATGATTACCTAAACATGAGATTACTTCACGCCTAATACATATGCAAAACCTATTCCCATCTAGTATATAATGAGTTTTCTGGCATTTGTCCCTGCAGCCTTCTCTTCTCCAGGCTGAACAGTCCCAACTTCTCAGCCTATCTTCATAGAGGAGGTGCTCCAGTCCCCTGAACATCCTCGTGGTCCTCCTCTGGACTTGTTCCAACAGATCCACGTCCTTTTTATGTTGAGGACACCAGAACTGCACACAATACTCCAAGTGAGGTCTCACAAGAGCAGAGTAGAGGGGCAGGATCACCTCCTTCGACCTTTTTTTCCAATTTTTAAAAGCACATTTAGTCTAATCCATTGCATACATTTCTAAAGTTTCTATCACTTCTGTTTCCAGGCAGTCATTAGGTGATATTCACAAGCTAAAGAATAACATATTGCACTCCACATCCCAAAATCTTAGGTTTTATGGATTCCTAAATGCGAGCTACCATATTGGGCAACTGGGAGGAGGGAGGGGAAAAGGGAGCAATTCCATGAGTACAAAATCTGACTGTGCAAAGGGCTACGTGGTAATCTGAGAAACATTGAGCATCTTTGTGTTCTACTGAATGAAACTGAGTTGACTTTGAAGGACAGGGCACAAAATGAGAAGTAGTAAGTTTATGGAAGTGAAACACATCTCCAGTGGGATATCCACTGAGGGAGAGAGAGCATTAACACCCAAAGCTTCTTTTAGTGGATATTCCTGACTGCAGCTGCGTGTTTGCAGCTGCGGACAGCCCCAGCTTGCTGGAGAACTCGTTCTGCACGGTAGCTAGATGTGAATCCCAGGTGAACACAAGTGAACTTTGCCTGCTTACTTTTCACAAGGTAAGAAATCACTGGAACCTCCTTTCCAGACCTGTCCTACCCACAACAGACACAGGAAGCGGTGCTCGAGGTTGATTCAGAGAAATCTCCAGGCAGAAACTGGCCAACAGAGTTTCAAGCTGACAAGCAGGTATTCTTTATTGCAGCGCCGGGAGACACAGGGGATAACTCCTCCTAACGTGTGTCCCCATATTGCTACACAAGCCATCCTTATATAGCCCCTGGGCACACATACATAGTGATGAGGCTACATATGGATTACGTCATTTTCCAGAGAGTTTCCCGCATGCATACAAAAATGTGATGGTGATCTTTGAGGGTCGTTTACTTCTCCCAGCAATCTTCATAACCAGCTTAATGAACATTACAGACATAGCAATCATCCTGTCCTTCTACTTATCAGTTAGTTTAACTGCTCCCATCCTGGACATCTGCTAGTCCCAAATACTCCCCATCCCCAGGTCCAGTTTTTCTAGTCTGCTTTTCATACACTTTTTGTACTGAGGTCCTAAGGACCTAAAACGATGTCAACTACCTTCAAGCATCGCAGTTACTTTCCATTACAAAGCCATCAAACTTAACGTTACTTAGAACTGATTACATTGTGTGCTTTTCTGCCTCCTCGTCTCAAGCTAAACACAACCACGCTTCCTCAAGCCATGGTGCACCATGTGCCCAGCAGGTCGAAGGAGGTGATCCTGCCCCTCTACTCTGCTCTTGTGAGACCTCACCTGGAGTATTGTGTGCAGTTCTGGTGTCCTCAACATAAAAAGGACATGGATCTGTTGGAACAAGTCCAGAGGAGGCCACGAGGATGATCAGGGGACTGGAGCACCTCCCATATGAAGATCAGCTGAGAAAGTTGGGGCTGTTCAGCCTGGAGAAGAGAAGGCTGCGTGGAGACCTCATAGCAGCCTTCCAGTATCTGAAGGGGGCCTATAGGGATGCTGGGGAGGGACTCTTCATTAGGGACTGTAGTGATAGGACAAGGGGTAATGGGTTAAAACTTAACCAGGGGAAGTTTAGATTGGATATAAGGAGGAAATTCTTTCCTGTTAGGGTGGTGAGGCACTGGAATGGGTTGCCCAGGGGGGCTGTGAATGCTCCATCCCTGGCAGTGTTCAAGGCCAGGTTGGACAGAGCCTTGGGTGATATGGTTTAGAGCGAGGTGTCCCTGCCCATGGCAGGGGGGTTGGAACTGGATGATCTTCAGGTCCTTTCCAACCCTAACTATTCTATGATTCCATGTGCAGGGCAGGTCGCGCAGACAAATGTCAGCAGACAGCAGAGCTCTCCACAGGAAACCCCCCTCTACCCACGCGGATACCGCACACAAAGGCCAAACAGCGCTGGTGGCTCTTCCCTGCCGGTGTCACCGCCGCACCCATCGCCCTCCTCACCCTCCCTCCCGCTGCAGCACCCAGAGCGGGGAGCCCCGACTCTGGGGGGGGGGGGTCCGGCTCTGCCCGTTGGCACCCGCTACCCCGCGCCTCCCCGCAGGCACCGCCGCCGCCATCGAGCAGCTCGGCCGCTCGACACAGGGCCCTGCTGGGCTGCGCGGTGCGCGCCGGCCCTCCCCGGAAGCGGGGCGGCGGTTGTGGTGGTTGGTGCGGGAGGCGGCGGAGATGGCGGTGTCGGAGCAGCTGTACCCGCGGAGCTCCATCGAAGATGACTTCAATTACGGCAGCAACGTGGCCTCGGCCAGCGTTCACATCCGCATGGGTAGGGACCGGGGATAAGACCGATACACCGTACCCCCCTCTACCCCCCCCAGCCCCTGCGGAGAGGCCCGGCTGGGCCGAGGCCTTGCTGGCCCGTGGCCCGGCGCTCCCGCAGGCGCTGTCTGTTGGCCCCGCCGCCCGTGGCCGTTAGCTGGGCTCGGGTTCTGCGCTGTTTTAACCTGCTGTGAGGGGGGAGCCAGGGCCTTGCTTAGCCCAGGTTAACGATCAGTGATGGAGGTGGAGGGAAAGCAAGGAAAATCAGTTTCCGGCTATAGATTCTGTCGTTAAGCGTAAAGGGGGCACGTCTTTATTATCAGAGGGATTAAACCAATATATAATAAACTTTATTTCCCCCGCAGTGATGCGTTTTGAAGCCCAAACATCATACATGAGGGGCATACCTGCCAAAATTGGTGCCTAGTAGAGCAGTTTAAGCAGGATACTGACAGAGCTGACTTTTATCTGTGAGGGGTTGAAATGCTGTTGCTTCCACTGAAGTGTTTGTGTGCTATAAGGTCATAGAATCATAGAACAGTTAGGGTTGGAAAGGACCTTAAGATCATCCAGTTCCAACCCCACTGCCATGGGCAGGGACACCTCGCTCTAAACCATATCACCCAAGGCCTCGTCCAACCTGGCCTTGAACACCACCAGGGATGGAGCATTCACAACTTCCCTGGGCAACCCATTCCAGTGCCTCACAATCCTTACAGTAAAGAACTTCCTCCTTATATCCAATCTAAACTTCCCCTGTTTAAGTTTTAACCCATTACCCCTTGTCCTATCACTACAGTCCCTAATGAAGAGTCCCTCCCCAGCATCCCTATAGGCCCCCTTCAGATACTGGAAGGCTGCTATGGGGTCTCCATGCAGCCTTCTCTTCTCCAGGCTGAACAGCCCCAACTTTCTCATCCGATCTTCATACAGGAGTGATGCAAAGGGTTAACAGATGTACAGGGGGGTTAGAGTTGAGCCACTTGCTTAACAATGTTACTGCTTGCTCATGCTTATGTACATGGTATTTATTTGCAGTGTACAAGGGGATAGGTCAAACCGCTTACTTAACAATGTTACTCATGCTTATCATACTCGCAATGTACAAGGGTACATTGTACATCAGGATCAGGATGCTTGCTTAACAATGTCATTGCTCACTCGTGATTATGCTAGGACAAGATATAAGGACATAGCTATTGTCAAGAAGTCGGGACCATGTCCTGATTCCCATCCTTTGGACGCCTCTGTTTATGCTAGAACTAGATATAAGGACATAGCTATTGTTAAGTATGGACCGTGACATGATTCCAGTCCCTTGGACGCCTAGGCCGGCTGAAATTGGCTCTGGGCTTGAGGAAGACTCATTTACTTCATCTTGCGACCCTCGCTCACAACCACCAGGAGGCACTGCGCAGGCGCAAAGGACTTCTTAGCTCATTATACTACGAAGCAGGGATAGGACATGAATATGTATAGGTGTGTTGCGCAACCTCATGCATATGTATAACTTTAGAGGATAAATGTAAAGGGGAAACAACACTGTGGTGCACATGCTTTTGGAGGAGTGACCCCCCATGCACCTCAGTGCTGAATAAAGCATACCTCCTTTACAACTTTAACAAGTTGTGAAGTCTATCCGCGCATCAGGAGGTGCTCCAGCCCCCTGATCCTCCTCGTGGCCTCCTCTGTACTTGTTCCAACAGTTCCATGTCCTTTTCATACTAGTGGTCATGAGGTATTGCTTTGCTGTTAATACGCAGGTCTCAAATGCTCTTGTATAAGGTGTTTAATCAGCGGTTCTTGCTGGAATAGTTAGAGGGTTATTGGGTGTATCTTGGAATAAAAACAGCTGTGTGCTGTGAAGTTTTCATTAGATATTTCTGATAAACTGGAGGCCTTGTCCTATGAAGATAAAGTTTTATCTTGTTTGGAAAATAAACAACATAAAAGAGCTCTTGCTTTTAGCAGAATTGCTGATGCATTTAGTAATGTGGGGAGAAGGCTGTGATAGCTAGCAGGCTACTTCCAGGTTTGTTCAGCTTATTATAACAAAATAGGCCCCATTCCCTCTTGGATACAAGCATGTTTAACTTTACCTGCTGCACACGGGTCATTCAGCTTCTCACAGTATGTGCTTTTAAACTTGTTTAGGCTGTGCTACTAAGGATTGAATCCATTATCTCCATAAGCTTACTCTTCAGAGCGTTTTACCTAATGGGTTTGGTCTCCTTCCATATGGGGAATATCTGTATGATATATTTGTATGTGCCGAAGCACTCTTCAGAATTCCAGAACTATGAAACCTGTTAGCTTAATTCTGGGATTTTTAATTCTTTTCTTCTAAGTCTGTATCTGTGAGTACCCATTCAGTATGATGCAAGTTACAAATTATGATAAATTACATTTAACATGGTGAAAGGTCAATCAGATAGATACTACCATACGTGTTCTTCTCACTTTTATGGCAGTTTTTGGCTTCCAGGGAACTTGCTAGTTAATCTTTCTTCATTTATATCCATTAGCTACCACTCATGTGATGGAGATTTTACACTGTTATCAGTTTCTTAGTGAGGTTAGGTATATGTAGTTTTTAAAAGAGTCTGAAGTTCCTTGCAAATGTGTTTTGCATTTGTTTTGTTACCATTGTTATTGTTTAAATACTGTTGTCCAGGAATAAATGTAATTTTCCTGGAATTTGCAATTTTTTGAAGGAGAAAGAGCTTGCCATTTAGCTCTGTGTGTTTTCACTGAATAGTTTCTAATGATTCCTTACCAAATAGAAAATTTCTATCTGATTTACTCTTGAACTTTGTAAGTGTAAATCAAAAATGATTTCATTTTTATTTTCCTTATTCTAGCTTTTCTGCGAAAGGTCTACAGCATTCTTTCCATTCAAGTTCTTCTGACCACAGTAACATCAGCAGTTTTTCTGTACTATACTGGAGTGCAGGCATTTGTTCATGAAAGGTAAATACTAAAATGAAATGGAGCTGGTTATCCTGTGTTAAGTGTAGTTTATGTAGTTTGTTGCTCTGGAACACTTCAATATTACTAATCAATTTTATACCCTGTGTTTTGATTCGTGATAGAAATTTTGTAACCTGGTTAGGAAGTAACTTCTTCTCTGACATTTTCCCCCTTGGTTTATTATTAGAATTTATTTTTATTATTAAAGTTTATTTTAACCAATATTTCATTAATAGTCCTTGGTATAATAATTATGCTATGAAAACCTGTATATGAATTGGAGAACATCTCAATTATTGACATTTTTTGGTTTATGTTCTAAGTATCTACCCTTACTTTTCATCTGTTTGGAATGCTGTTGTTTAGGTGCCTGTTCCAAAAAGCTGAACCGTGTCTTTTTTTCTCCCCTTGCCCCATCTTCTCTTGGTTTTTGGTTGTTGTTGGCTTTTGATTTCTGGAAAACTGGTCTGCTAAAATTCCCATGGGCTTACTTCTTTCTGCCTCTCAGATTTTCTTGGGACAAAACCAAGTCTCAAAACGCAAACTGTGGTGAATGGGCAAGGGTAAAGAACAACTTGGTGGAGAGCACTGAATACGGTTTCTGATTTTCAGACTTTGCTTTTGCTTTCATTTCAAAGCCCAGATGGAAAAGGAGTATCAAATGCTGTATAAATGTTTCCGTGTAATCTGTACTGTATGCAACAGAGGTTGTAAAACTACAATTTTCTACTGAAATCTGATTATTTCAGATCATCCTGCTCACTTAGAAGTGTTGCAGTTTTGTGATTGATTATGGTGCAGTTCTTGTTTGGAGGGCTGCTTGGATGCTTGGATCCCTAATTCTAGGGATACTTACTGTTCAGTACTAAATTCTTTTGGTGCAGTTAGTTTAACTAACTAAAGCCAGTTCCCTGAATGTGGCATTCTTAATAGGTTAAAATATTACATGTTCTTTAATACTGTTAGTTTAGTACAGATGGATTTTCTTCTTCGTACGGGTTCATTTCCAGGTGATGAACTCCTGCGCAATCTTCAGTTTCTGTATGAAAAAATGTCTTGTGATTGCACTGTTTTTAACTGATTATAGTAGCATGTTTTCAATCAGTTTTATTGTAAAACTTGCTTTACATTTCCTTTAGCTATATGGAGCAGTACCTTATCTAGGTGATCACTTAAAGATTACTTTGATATAAACTGGCTTTTAGTCTTCCAGTTCTTCTTTCAAATTTTGATGACTTTTTGTATGGAACTTTACAGGCCTGCCTTGCTTTTGATATCTGGTTTGGGATCTTTGGCTGTAATAGTGGCACTGACCCTCTACAGACACCAGCATCCTGTTAATTTATACCTGCTTTTTGGATTTGTAAGTATTTATATAAATTCAGTTTTAATAGTCCCTAGAATATCTTTCATTGTGATGAACTCCTTGAAGCAAACTAGTGGTGGGTAGTTGGTTTTTCTTGTATTCCTCAAAAGATGCCTTATAAACTTCCAAAAGCCTTAGTTACTTCTTGGAGATCCTGTTCACACCTTGTTTCTGGAGAGCCTCTATGTCAGTTTTCTTCCAGTATCTTTTTAGGAAGAGTGTTAGAACATGGAATCAGATTGAGCAAGCTTCCCCTTGCCTACCCTTTGTGTGTTTAATTGTATCTGTCCATCTGCTCTCACTGTTCTGTTAAGTTATATTGCTCAGTAGGAAAGGAGGAGGCATTTCTGTTACCTTATTCGTTTATTGGCCAGCCTCCAGCAAAGATCCAAATACAACCAGCCACACGTCTTTAATAGTTGGCTTTTTGATGCTGAATTCTGGGCATGTTTTGAACACAGGCAGAGCTGTCCTCAAATTCCAGTCTCCTGCCTGATGTTGCAGATTTCTAGATACGGGCTAAATGTTGATCTTGGATATTTTGGCTTATGTAGCAAATCAGTCTTCTGGAAAGAAGTCACAGTAACACAATTAGAATTAGATGCTTTAGGAGTTGCCTGAATTACATTTGTGATCCGATGGGGTTTGCTGTGTAAGTAAATAAGACCTTTTTAATGGTAACACAGATGTATGCTTCCTGAGTTTTGAACCCTTGCAGGAGAATCAGATGTTTAAAAACTTTCAACAAGTTCAGCTGTGGCAAGGAGTGATGTAATAGTTTGGCCAAATGTGATGTGGGAGTGTGTGGCATGACAGTGTAAGTATTGCCCCTCAGTTTAAGAAGGACAGGGACCTGCTGGAGAGAGTCCAGCGCAGGGCAACTAAGATGATTAAGGGAGTGGAGCATCTCCCTTATGAGGAAAGACTGAGGGAGCTGGGGCTCTATAGTTTGGAGAAGAGGAGATTGAGGGGTGACCTTATTAGTGTATATAAATATATAAAGGGGGAGTGTCACGAGGATGGAGCCAGGCTCTTCTCAGTGGCAAACAATGATAGGACAAGGGGCAATGGGTGCAAACGGGAACACAAGAGGTTCCACTTAAACTTGAGAAGAAACTTCCTGTCAGTGAGGGTGACGGAACACTGGAACAGGCTGCCCAGGGAGGTTGTGGAGTCTCCTTCTCTGGAGACATTCAAAACCCGCCTGGACACGTTCCTGTGTAACCTTATCTAGGTGTTCCTGCTCCGGCAGGGGGATTGGACTAGATGATCTTTTGAGGTCCCTTCCAATCTCTAACATACTGTGATACTGTGATACATTGTGTAGGAATAGTAGGAGTCAAACCCGTGATAAATCAATCTAAACAGAATATAGATTAAATATTCTGTTACTTCTGGGCTCTTGGTTCACAACACAGAGACTTTTGTCACATTTTATTGTAATGAAACTTAATTTGAAATTAGTTTTTAGAAAAACTCAGGGCCCATACTAGCCTTCAGCCCAGACATTGGTATGTATGGTTTTAAAGTTAGCTGTTTCAAAACAAGGCCAAGTGGGAAAAGGAAGCTGATGCAGACACTTAGCTAACAAGACATTGAGTGTATTAATTTTATAGCCCCTTGAATAGTGTGTAAGAAGTGTGATAAGAATGCTGTGTGCTTTGAGTGGAAAATCTAAATAGCATTTTTGTATAGGGGCTGTCTCTCAATTCATTTTCAGTTTATGTTGTGTTCTTTTTATGTAACACAACAAGTTCTGGCACAGTTGGACACTATGATTGCCATTTTCTGGTTGAAAACTAAACGTGTTTTCATATACAAAGATTTAGCTAAGGTAATGCATGCTGGGATTATGTAGCAGAATGGACTCATTGTGCGTGAAGTCTCCATGTAAGTGTTTTGTGGTCTGTTTTGTTGGGTTTTTTTATCCTTGTAATTTTTTGTTTTTTACTTTTTGTAGACCCTGCTGGAAGCACTGACAGTTGCTGTTACAGGTAAATGGAAGCCATCCTATTGTCTGATTCCATAAAGAAACTGGAAAAGGAATCCAGTATGTTGTACTGATTGCCATCTGAGATTTCCTAATTGTGACTAAAATGATAATATTTGTTTGAAAATCTTAATGACAGTGGTACGAGTTTAGCAAAAAACAGGGACTCAAGGGAGGAAGCTGGATTCTGATCCAGAGCTGAAACTGTACAAACCTGAAGTCAGGAACGAGCTGTGTCATCTGTTCTTTCTGTAGAGCCAGTCATCTGTTCTTTCCTGTAAAGCAGCTCTGACCAGAGCTGATTGGCAAGTGAAATATCCTTATTTTCTCCCTCAGTTTCCTCCAGAGTTTGGAGAGTTCTGTACTTTGTTAGGGTTGAGGTGCAGCAGCGTGCAGACAAGTCATCACCTTCCACTATAGCTTCTGGCGTAAGATGAAGCCTCCTTGTTGTGGCTTGTGATCTCCTGAGGAAAAAAAATAATTGTTTGGGGAAAGGAAAGAAGGAAGAATTAAGGAGGAAGGAGGGAAGAAAAGGCTCCACTCGTTTGTGTTATCTTTCCCATCTAAACAAAACTTTATGAGCCTTTGCATAGGACTGATTTTTTTTTCCCCTTGTTTCATTATAATGAAAAATTCGGATAGCTTTTCCCTTAAGATCTCTCACATCTATGCTTAAAATACTTTTTTTTCTTTTTTTTTTTAATTGTGATTAGGGAAGATCTGTTATTTCCATTTAAGAATCTATAGCTATAAGGTGACTGTCAAACTGAGCTAGTGCAAGGTGCATGAGTTCTGTGATCATGATTTTGAAGTGCAAAGACAAATGCAGGCGTAATTTGCTTTTCTTGTTCACAGTTAAGAACTTTTGTCCTGTCTCTGAAAGTTTAAACTTCTGTTTCCTCAAAAGATAACTTCACAAATACGTGGTGTAGTGTTCTTTAAATGACACTTTACTTTTTCTGTTCATAGTGAGTTTCTATGATGTCTCCATTGTCTTGCAAGCCTTTATTCTTACTACTGCTGTATTTCTTGGACTGACTGCGTATACCTTGCAGTCAAAGCGAGACTTCAGCAGATTTGGAGCAGGGTATGTTGTCATATTGATGAGTTCTTTTCTTGTTTTCTTGAGATGATTTGTCCTTTTTCAAAGCAAGCTTTGCAGGTATAGTAAGAAATGCAGGTCAATAGAACCTGCTTCAAGGGGGTGAGGGTGTTAACTCAGTAAATTATTAATTTTATGTGGTTCTGCTTTCTTGGTAAGAAATTATTTTCTGTGATTATGAATCTTTATAATAATTAGACTAGAAAACTAGTTTATCTGGGTTTTTCACTGAGACAGAAGGCAGCTGCTCCACATAGTTTTTAAAAAAGTATTTAGAACGTAGCTTTTGACAGCTTTATAAAACTGAGTTTTACTGCTCATACCAATGAAAACCTGGCATCTAAGAATTATGGGCAGTTACTTACCAAATATAATGTGAAGAGGTTTTAGAAGAAGGGGGAAAGATTGTAAGTAAAATTTAAAAGGAAATGTATTCTTGTTCACAGTTGGATGTGTTTTTTTTTTCAGCCTCTTCACTTGCTTGTGGATTTTAATCTTGTTGGGTTTCTTGAGGGTAAGATGCTTTTTCAAGGTTAAAAAACATTCTTTAACATAAAACTCTTATTCTAGTATAACAAAAAGGTTTTAGACAGTGCAATATAGCTTAATGAATGAAAATCCCTAACCAGATCCATTATAGATCATGCTGGTGATCTTTTAACTATTCATTTCTAGTTCAGATTTTTTTGGGATGCTGTTCTTAATGAAAAAGTGGTATTTGCATCAATTGACAAAATTTATCTGTTGAGATCCACTACTTGAGACAATGGAAAGGACATTGGGGGGTTACTTGTGTTTTGTTCTTCTAATTTTTTTGCTCTTAATACTCTGGAGACCAGAGCTTCCTCTCTTTTGAGTGGAGACATTTTTACTCAGTTAAAGGGATTGTGGGACTGAGGACTATATGAAATAAGAACACTGAAATGTCATAGAATAGAATAGAATCATAGAATCATAGAATAGTTAGGGTTGGAAAGGACCTTAAGATCATCAAGTTCCAACCCCCCTGCCATGGGCAGGGACACCTTGCCCTAAACCATATTACCCAAGGCCTCGTCCAGCCTGGCTTTGAACACTGCCAGGGATGGAGCATTCACAACCTCCTTGGGCAACCTATGCCACAATATGTTGTCATCACAATATGATATTTATGTGTTCATAACAGTAAAAAGAAAGGGTGCATCCTTGTTTGAAGTGTGACATATCAATACGCAGGGATTTTAATATTAAAAAGAAAATCGCATTTACAATTTTTGTTCACGTTTCATTTGCCTCCAGCTGTTTTTCTACAGCGAGACAATAGAGTTGGTGTTTGCTGCTGCTGGAGCTCTTCTATTCTGTGGATTTATTATTTATGACACCCATTTGCTGATGCACAAATTATCCCCTGAAGAATACATACTGGCTGCAATCAACCTCTACTTGGACATCATCAATCTGTTCCTGCACCTACTACGCTTACTGGAGGCATTTAATAAAAAGTAGTCAAAAGCAATGTGGTTTGACTATAGTGAATGAAAAGTTACACGTTTGGATGATCTGCAGACTGTGTCATTCTGGCTTCTGGAGACTGAGCCTTTGCTACTTTTTCATTCCATGAATATTTCTCTCTCCTTAGGAAAAGAAGAAGAGGCTTTTTAATGTAGCTACGGTTCTTCTTTAGATTATATATTTTATGGAGTTACCATGCTGTCATCGTTTCAGTCACTTTTTGAATCACTTCATTTGCACTTGACAGAATTCACGATTGAGAATTTGCCAGCTTCTGTTTGCTCCAGAAGGAGGCCTTGGTTGCTATTCTGTAGCTGCTAGAAGTGTTTCCTATGGTATTACAAGTATGAGTACCATGTAAGAGTAGCCCAAGCTTATCATCTTGGACTGTTTTACTAAGCTAATTTGTTTTTCCCTAGTTTTTGTTTGGTAAAATGGAATGCTGTCTGTAACAGAGATACTCTGTTCTTGCTCTGGGCTGTCAGGTCATTCTGGAAGCTCAGAGGGTTTTAAAGGGAATGTTCTTCGTTGAAGTGTTATTTATTGCCTGATTTTAGTGTTCTGGAAAATCATTTGGAGATGGATTCTGGCATTTACCAGTTTATGTAGATGAAGGTTAATGGCCTGTCAATAAAAATTGGAACAACTTCAGTCTGTTCTTGCAGTTGAGGCTGGAGAACTTCAGAGTGCTGAAAAGGACAGAGCACAATGGCTCTCTACTGGACAGGCAAGTGTGTGCTGGCAGGGCAATCGTGCTCTGACAGTGGCTGCTTTCCAACCTGTTGAGCTCCTGGAATGGCAGGCAGGGTACAAACAGTTTAGAAAGGCTTTCTTGCTTCACAGTATTGAAGTCCAGGTCTTGTTCCTGCTTGCCTGTCCTGTCAGGTTAACAAGAAGACAATGCAGGGCTTGGTAAACGTCACGTGGCCTGCCACTGGAAGCGACTATGGATGCTTTCCATGATGGAACTTGACTATTGAATTATGGAATCGGAGAATCAACCAGGTTGGAAAAGACCTTTTCAGACCATCAACCGTTACCTCAGGGCTGCCAAGTCCACCACTAAACCATGTCACTAAGGGCCACATCTACATGTTTTTTGAACACTTCCAGGGATGGCGATTCCACCCCTGCCGTGGGCAGCCTGTTCCCATAGCTGAGCACACCTTCGGTGAAGAGATTTTTCCTAATACCCAGCCTAAACGTCCCCTGGCACAGCTTGAGGCCGGTTCCTCTTGTCCTGTCACTTGTTAAGTGAGAGACATACCTCCACCTCCCTAAGGCCTCCTTTCAGGTAGCTGTAGAGAGCGATGAGGTCCCCACGGAGCCTCCTCCAACGATAAACCCCAGCTCCCTCAGCCGTTCCTCATGAGGCCTGTTCTCCATAATGTGTTGCCCTTTTCTGGCTCCTCTGAATCATTGAACAGTTAGGGTTGGAAAGGACCTTAAGATCATCCAGTTCCAACCCCCTGCCATGGGCAGGGACACCTCACTCTAAACCATCTCACCCAAGGCCTCATCCAACCTGGCCTTGAACACTGCCAGGGATGGAGCATTCACAACCTCCCTGGGCAACCCATTCCAGTGCCTCACCACCCTAACAGGAAAGAATTTCCTCCTTATATCCAATCTAAACTTCCCCTGTTTCAGTTTTAACCCATTACCCCTTGTCCTATCACTACAGTCCCTAATGAAGAGTCCATCCCCAGCATCCCTATAGGCCCCCTTCAGATACTGGAAGGCTGCTATGAGGTCTCCACGCAGCCTTCTCTTCTCCAGGCTGAACAGCCCCAACTTTCTCAGCCTGTCTTCATACGGGAGGTGCTCCCCTGAAGCACAGCTGCAGATTGCTTTGGGCAAGCATGAGGGCTTCTCCCCTCTGCCGGGGTTTCATTAAGAAACGCGTGGCAACAGCTACGAACAAAACCGCACCATTCCCCTTAGCAGCACGTGTGTGTTTAACACCCATCCCCGCAGTGCTGCCCAGCGGGGCCGGAGCGGCGGCTGCGCGCTTGCTCGGAGCATTACGGTAGAGCCTGCAGGACCGCGCTGAGTGGGCGGGGCTTATGCGGCGAGAACGCGCATGCGCGGGCACGGGGCGTAACGTACCGGGGGCGCGGAGGGCAGGCCTAGTGCGGCGCCGGGGTGAGCGGGGGTCGTGTGCCCGGTGAGCAGAGCGAGTGGCGCATGCGCCGCCTTAACGGCTTCTGACCGCCCTCCCTCACCGTGTCCCTCTTCCCCCCCCTCAGGCCATGGCAAAGAGCCTGAGGAGCAAATGGAGGAGGAAGATGCGGGCGGAGAAGAGGAAGAAGAACGCGCCCAAGGAGCTGGAGAGGCTGAAAAAGATCCTGGGAACCAACGCTGATGTCCTCATGGAGGAGGTCAAGGAGGTGGCGACTGTGGTGCCGCCCCAGAAGGCCCTCGAGCCGCCGGGCGGTGAGTTGGGCTCTCAGCCGCGGGGAGGGCCCCGGTGCCAACCGGAACAGGCCGCGGCGGGAGCTGAGCGGGCCCGGGGCTGAACCAGGCCGGCCCCGCCTCTTCCCGCACCGTTTCTCGCGTGGTTTTCGGTGTCCCACGGGGTGTTTCGTGTTGCGGTCATCCACGTGTCGCGGCGTCCTGCGTTACTGCTTGTCCTTGCTCCTGTGACTGTCACTGTCGTGATAGTGCGTGCGGTTAGCGCAGGTTGAGATTGCTGAGTTGGAAGACCAAATCGTTATCTTTTACGGCCATAAGATGCTGTTTAAATCATTGAATCTGGTCACTTTGCGGTACTGGCTTCTGTGTGCATCCAGTCGCTTATGGAACAAGCTTATTAATGTGATTTAAAGTATGTAGTTTCTTATCAAGAGTCGTTTCTTTGTGGAGACAGCTTAGAAGCTGTTCTAATTACAGCATTGTATTTGCTGTTAAAGTGGAGATAGGGTATTAATTCCCTCCTAGTTTAAGGAGGACATTAAACATATAAGAGATTGGATATAGAGAAGAAATTCTTTCCTGTTAGGGTGGTGAGGCACTGGAATGGGTTGCCCAAGGAAGTTGTGACTGCTCCATCCCTGGCAGTGTTCAAGGCCAGGCTGGATGAGGCCTTGGGTTATATGGTTTAGAACAAGGTGTCCCTGCCCATGGCAGGGGGGTTGGAACTTGGTGATCTTAAGTTCCTTTCCAACCCTAACTATTCTATGATTCTGTAAAAGTTGGACCTAAATATAATGTAATTTTGTGGATATTTTATCATTAATAGGGTGATTTCCTTCCTCCCCCTTTTTTAAATGTACTGTTTCAAGGTAGGTGTAGCAAGGACCTTGATTTTGTATGCTCATGAATGCTGCACTGTACATGGTGCAGGAACCAGTATTGTTAGCTGTCTATAGGTGCTGCCACCTTCCTCTATGGTCTGTGGGTAGGATTTAATCTGTGAAGGAAGTGACCCAGGAAGTGGAAACAAAGGTTTTAAGTGGGTATGTACTGGTCAGGAGTCAGAAGGACACATTCTCTTTCCAAAACTACAATCCAGACTAAATCATAGTACATTTTGCTTCTCCAGTTTTTGCCACTTAAGCTGTTAGGATATTGCAGATACGAGCTTTTTATGTGGCATGCAGAAGGCTCTTGGGAGATCACAGTGGGGATATAGAATAATGCTAGTAATCACTGTCAGTCACACAGCCAGTTTTGTCAGTGCTTCTGGAATTAGGAAAACCAGGTGGTGTGAGGTTGAATAGCAGACCCTCTGAACTACATTGAAAATGGAAATAGAATGCTATATAAAGATACTCTTCCAGTGAAGGGTGGCTTGGAGTATGATTTGTAGTTTTATCCATGGTTCTGATTTGTGTGCCAGATGTAAACGTTGTTCTTTATGGGATTATTAGAATTGACTTCCCAGAATGTTTTGAAACATCGTCAGCCTTCTGATGCTGGAGCTGTAGGAAACAGTGTTGTCTTAAACGTAGCTTCTGAAGCAAATGCCTGGCTGGCTGTCATTCCTGCACCCCCTTCCAACTCTGCTGGCAACTTTTCTACAAGTGGCCAATTTCACTTGCCCTTTGCAGAGAGATAGGAGCCTCAGACATACCTAAGAATACATGTATTTCACAAAGCATCGACAAGTTTTGTGAAAATTAGTGTCTTCTTTGAGAGGACTTTTCAGCACCAGCTGTCTGTGCAGGGGAGTTTACATAGTTGTAAGGACTGAAGTAGATGATAGCTTCATAGAATCATAGAATAGTTAGGGTTGGAAAGGACCTTAAGATCATGCAGTTCCAACCCCCCTGCCATGGGCAGGGACACCTCGCTCTAAACCATCTCACCCGAGGCCTCGTCCAACCTGGCCTTGAACACTGCCAGGGATGGAGCATTCACAACCTCCCTGGGCAACCCATTCCAGTGCCTCACCACCCTAACAGGAAAGAATTTCCTCCTTATATCCAATCTAAACTTCCCCTGTTTAAGTTTTAACCCATTACCCCTTGTCCTATCACTACAGTCCCTAATGAAGAGTCCCTCCCCAGCATCCCTATAGGCCCCCTTCAGATACTGGAAGGCTGCTATGAGGTCTCCACGCAGCCTTCTCTTCTCCAGGATGAACAGCCCCAACTTTCCCAGCCTGTCTTCATACAGGAGGTGCTCCAGCCCCTGATCATCCTCGTGGCCTCCTCTGGACTTGTTCCAACAGTTCCATGTCCTTTTTATGTTGAGGACAGCAGAACTGCACACAATACTCCAAGTGAGGTCTCATGAGAGCAGAATAAAGGGGCAGGATCACCTCCTTCAACCTGCTGGTCATTCAGAATATGCACTTTCCGTAGACAGGTAGATAATTTTCCAGCCCAAGAAAATATATAGGTGTACATTAGGGACATTTTCTTGTCTTGTGAAATAATTCCATTTTTTGTTGTTAGAAAAAAAAAAAAGATCTGGATGGCCTTTGGTCAGAAATGGTTTTTCAAACTTTGTGGGCAGGCACAGATTTTTGTCATTATAATGATATCTATTGAGTGTGCTTGGATAACCTACAACTTTTGGGTTTTTTCTTGGCCATTTTCTTTGTCTTTAAGCCTTTTGGCAGGTTTTCTTCGTGTTCTTGCACCACTTCTGTTCAATAGGTTTCTTCCTATTGCCAATCCCGTAGCATCCTTGAGATTGCAAAGTATGATGAAAACATTGTGCTGCGTGAGCAGCAGGTACTTTTTGTCCAGAGGTATTTCTTCATGTAGTCTGTGTTGGAGCTGACACTTACTGTGGGTGTGCTTCTTTGCAGTCAGGATTTGTGTTAACAGTTGAGCCTCGGTCCTATGACAGGACAAGAATCAGCGAAGAAGATTAGTTACGTAGAGCTGGTTTTATTGGGGTGGTAGGTTTCTTGTATTTTGTTGTTGGAGGCCATCTCTCCTATGACATTTGGAAATGGTTGCTGTTAAGAAACTCTCATGTGTTTCTCTGATGTCTCAGGAGGTTTCTGGAGCTAGGGCTTTTTGTGCTGCCTGTCCCATGCTGGATCAGCCTTCGGTTGCACCAGTAGGCCCATGTGCTGATTCTTTGCTGACTGCATTTGTATCTCAGCTTCAGGGTTCCCTAAGCACAGACTTGTGCTGCCCATCAGGTAGACTGTCGGCATGCTTCAACTAGTGAAGCTGCACATGGACTTTTTGTTAACCAACTTCAGACAGGCACAAGATAAAGTCTTTTTTGTCCTGTTTATAAAACTCGTGATAAAGCCTTTAGAGTTGTACATGGAATGATACATGGCATTCATGTGGTGTCACCTAACTGGGGGCACTGTTCTTGAGCATGACCATGTCACCAGCAGTCTTCTGGTCCTAGAGATTAATCATAGCATGGTTTGTGTTGGAAGGGACCTTAAAGATCGCCTAGATCCAGCCTCCCTATTATGGGAAGAGACACATTCCACCAGACCAGGTTGCTCAAAGCCCCATCCAGCCTGGCCTTGAACGCTTCCAGGGATGGGGACAGCCACAGCTTCTCTATAGACAACCCTGTTCCAGTGTCTCGCCACCCTCAAGGTGAAGAATTTCTTCCTGATATCTAATCTAACTACCCTCTTTCAGTTTAGAGGCACTCTTTCTTGTCTTATCACTAGATGCCCATGTAAAAAGTCCCTCTTCAGGTTTCTTGTGGGCCCCTTTTAGGAACTGGAATGCTGCTTTAAGATCTCCCTGGAGCCTTCTCTTCTCCAGGCTGAATAACCCCAGCTCTCAGCTTGTCTTCATAGGAGAGGTGCTCCAGCCTTCTGATGATCTTTGTGCCCTCTGGACTCACTTGAGGTCCATGTCATCTTATGTTGGGGGCCCCAGAGCAGCACATAATACTCTCAGGTGAGGTCTCACAAGAGCAGAGTAAAGGGACAGGATCACCTCCTTGGACCTGCTGGTCACGCTCCTTTTGATGCAGCCCAGGATATGGTTGGCTTTCTGGTCTGTGAGCACACACTGCTGGGGCATGTTGAGTTAATCCTTTATTTCTGTCTCTAAATATCTTAGACTTGACCTTGTGCTGACTTCTCGAGGCAAACACAGCATCACTGTCTCCCTTGTGCTTTATACCATCACTGTATTTTAGCTTTTCCTTTCATTTTATCGTTACCTGTCTCTTTGTCTTGCACTCAAATTAATTTAACATTACATCATAAAAAGTATTTAACTGTGCATATGTTTCAGTAAGCCTATAGCTTCCGGTTTGGTTGCAGCTTTTGATGGAGACCACACACAGTGTTTTTATACATGGTACTGGAGCAGATGGCAGACTGAAAGTACAAGGTGCTTTTTCCAGACATGGGCCTTGAGGGAACATCCTGCATATTTCCTATCAGCTGTTGAAGTTCCTGGGTTGCAGTTGTACTGGTTTGGAAACTGCTTTCAGAGTGTAAAGCTTTCAGCTTTTTCCATACAGATACTGTTGTGTGGAGATATGTTTTCATTGTTTTGGGAAATCTGGTAACAAAATAGCAAGCTGATTCATGTATTTTACTCATTTCACTCAAATAACTTTTATTTTTTTTCAGGTGACTGCAAAATGGACGTAGATAATAAACGGAACAAAAAAACTCTTCTAGACCAGCATGGACAGTACCCAATATGGATGAATTCCAGGCAGAGAAAGAAGCTGAAGGCACAGCGTATTAAGGGGAAAAAAAAGTCAAAATTGGCCAAAGGCCTAGTCTGGTAAAATTGGAGTTTTGTAAGATCATGGATATTTTACTTGCAAAATAATTTTCCCCCAAAATACATTATATTTTTGTGCTTGGCCACCAGATATAATACATTGTGTTGCATGAGTGTTTTAAGAGACTGTTGGGCCAGAAAGTGATGGCAGCAGTATCAACTGCTGGTGGTGTCTAACAAATCAAGCTGAGTGCCTTTGAATAGCCTGTCTGTTGTGATCTGTTTTGTTGAGGGGGAAGGGTCTTCATCTTTTATATTGTAAGTGTTGAAAATGCTAAAGGAAACCCTAAAAATAATAAAGCTGTACATGTTTTTTATACTGTGGTCTTTGTCAATGTAACTTATCTTTTAGCAAATTCAACCAAAGGATTGTGTAAAGTCGCCATATCCTTTAAATTCTTCTGTAAAATCACTTTTGTTGTGCAGTTGTGTTGCTTTTAACATCTGGTGTTTAATGAAAATGGGCTTTTGACATGTAATTTGAAAGAGATTATGCACTGAAACCAACTCCAAGGGTTTGTGAAACTTCTGTTAGCTGACACTTTGTCTTTTTACTGACTTCAGCTCGCAAAGAGAAGGTTGTTGGGACAAAGAAGTATTTTGCTGCTGTCTGCAACTGAAATATTGTAGGAACTAAATAACTGAAAGTAAAAACATTAATGCGAGGGAATGCAAATGCACAGATTGGAAATAAAATAGTTTTTATTTAAGATCTTTTCCAGGTTTTAGTAAAATAAATGAGAATTTTCTTTTCCAGATGCATTTTCAGTAGCCTTTCTTTCCTCCTAAAATGGTACTTGTCTGTCATGTTTTACAACGTGGGCACAGGGTGAAATACTGCATGGTGGCGTAACACATGCCATTTATATGTGATTAGCTACAGTTGGTTGCATATTACTCAGCAATAACATGTGATGACAGATGCAAGAATTAGTTGCCCTGAAAGCTTGTGTTTTTTAAATGCCTCTCATTTCAAGGATGGAAACAATTACAGTACCAGTCCTGCAGGATGTTGCCTGTTGAAGTACCATTCGTCAGTGCAGAGCATAACCTGTGTCCAGCTTCACCCAAGGGGGAATCCCTGCTCTGTAATGGACCACAAACTGTGATACGTGCCTGTTGTGGTAACTTGGGCACATGAAATGGGATATATTGCTTTTAAAGTAATCACATTAGCTTATACTATGCTAAAATCCACCAAGAACAACTCATCCTGAATAGAAAATCTAGTTTTTCGGGGAAAAATAAAGTGAGGTTTTTAGTATTATTTTCGTTAGGAGAAAAGTATTCTGTTCCTCAGGTAAAGAACTACAGTTTGTTGGAGGAAATGCCAATGCATCTTCTGTTTTCTCGTATGTGTTGACAGTTAATGACACTTGGTAAGATGCATAGGTCAAAGTTTACCAAATTATATACGATTAATAACTTTGTATTTTAAAGATATTTCCATTAAGTTGATAATAACCTGCTAAAAACCAGATTCCAGTCTCAATTTTTTATTAAATAGATGGGTCTAGATTTTGGTATCAAATATGTTAGCATTTAGATTAGTGCTGCTTTAAAATTTATAAACACAGAGGAAAGTTTTATTTAAGGTTTATCCTATAGTGTTTATCCAGAAATTGAATGGTCAGTTTGTATTTCTTTACTGTTTTAAGGATGTAGGCTGTATTTTGCTTAGGGTGTGCTTTGGAGAGTTGTAGAGACAAGCTGCTTGGGTTTAAACACTCCTGATTTGGGTTTTTTTTTGTATGGGATAAGCACAGTGCTATATTTGACGTGCTCGTTTGTAAATCAGTAAATCATGCACCTCCTGGTGGGGAAACAGACTGGGTTTCCTGCTGGGAAAGTTGTCCCATGTAACTGTACTGCTTCAGAGGCAGTTTATCTTCATTCTTCAGGTACACAGCCATACTCTCATCTTGACTGAGGCTGCCACCACTGTACTTGCCTTACCCACTCCTCTCCAGAGCTGTTCCAGTTCTCCGTCTGCCCCTTTCTCACAGAGAGAAAATTGCCTTCACAACTGAACACTCTCATTTCTGCTTTTATGACTTTGAGCTTGGCTGCACAAACTTACTGCTTTTGTGACCAGATTTAAGGTTTGACTCTCAAGTGGGAGACAGCAGATGCTGCACTGCTGTTTTATTTAGCAGTTAACTTCCTACCAGCTGAAATAATACTGACTGTGTGAGGTACTTCCTTTATGGTGTCCAGGATAAAGTCAAACAGGTTCACTTAAACTACAGATATTTTAAGATATCCTGTTTGATTTTTGAGCTGAAACAGAGAATAAGAAAGGAATAAACCCCAGTCTTTACTGAGAGGTAGGCCTTAGTTTAGTACCGGTGTGCAGTGTTGCAGAGTGCTCTGTGAGCTGGGAAGTACACTGAGAGGGTGATTGAGTGGGATCTGTCATCTGGTTGGGAGGCTCCATTGTAGACAAGCAGTGGGAACCTGGTTAATGTGCAGCATGGATGTAACCTCGCAGGTGGAGTCACAGATGCAGCAGGGAAATTTCACCTGCTAGGATTTGAGGTGTACTGCATGTGGCTGCTGTGGTTTTGTATTTGGGATGTCCTTCAGCAGCTGTATGTTTTTGATATGAATACCACATTTTTAGTTGTCAGTGGGTGTTTGATTTACACCACTGAGTCTGAAACATGTTCTGTTTGATCAGCTACTGAAAAAAATAGTGTTTCTCTAGAAAATAAAACAGGTTTTGGCTGAAATACGTGTTTTAAAGTCTTTAGAGGGACTTGTGAAACAAGCTGTCTCTAAGCAGCATTCTAACAGAGTGGTGTCAGAGTTGGGGTTGGCTTCTGAACAACTGTGCTATTGCAAAACTGCTTTGTTGAACTTTCCTATGACTGCAGCTGCCACCTACCTGCAAAGTGCTGTGGTAGCTGCAGTTCATGGACCTGCAAAAGGTAGGGGAAATCATATGGGGTGCTTTAAACTACAAGCATTAACGTCAGAACTGAAAGATGTGCATGCTGCCATTTGATTGAAGTGTATGTGTATAAAATGTGTATGTAGACAGTATAAAAATTGCCTTAGCAAGTTGCTAAATGTCCTGCAGATTGTTGGCAGAAGGCACAGTGTGCAGGTCTTGGTTTTAAACCGAGTTATTTCAAGTCCCTAAAATAACTGGTGGTGGTGATAATGCAGTTCATGGGCTGGGGTTTTCTGGTACCAGAGCAGAGTTCCACCTTTTCTGTGTTACGTAGTCAAGTGACTGGGGGAACTGATCTATCCTGTACATTAAAATTCTATCTAATCTATCCTGTACATTAAAATTCTATCTAATCTATCCTGTACATAAAAAATACTCCTATTTCCCCCCATATTTTTAATCTGGATCAGTTTACAGCCTTACTGCACAAAAAAAGCATCGTCAGCAGGAGGCAATGCAAGACTGGGAACAAATAGCTGGTGAAGGCAGGGTTGTGTGAAACAGTTCCTTGCTTAAGCCCTGACATCCCGTGCCACCTTCTCTGCTGTGGCTCTAGCAGCACAGCCACCATACAGTGCAGTGTTTTGCAGACAGGGGAGAGGATCTGGAGATGAGGTCAAGCAAAGGCATTGAATAGTGGGTTTTACACTGGAGGGTATGATGTTGGAATGAGTTAAGCCAGCGTTCTTACAGTCCACGTTAAGTTTTCCTCTAACCCTCTGACAACACAGGCTTCACTGGTGTACATAAGTTTTTAGGGCTTCTTTCAGTTTGCTTTATCTTTGGGTTTATCTGCAGCCCATGTTGCAGTTCTACAGTACACTGAATCTGGTTTGGGATGTCTGGCGTTGGAGGAAGAATGCCATAGCCACCTGATGCAGAGTGCTCCTCTGATACATGGTCACAGGATTTAAAACCCAGAACAACAAAACCAAAGGTACCTCTCCTTTATCTATACAACGGCTTTATGCTGTGTATCTGTTCCTACCGTGCTACCCTTTCCTCTTGCAGCCCAAAAACATGAGTTCGGGTGAATTTGATGGAAGATGAATGTCTGACCTGCATCAGATTGATAATGTGAACTTGACCGGTACTAGAGAGTTCAGGACTGCAGCCTTAGCACTGCATCAACCTGAGAGGTGCAGGACAATGCCTTCCTCTAGTGACATTGTCTTCATTGGATTAGGGCAGCTCTGGGGATGATTGGAGTCTGAAGCAGTAACTATGAACTGCTCTCTTCAGACCAGGGGTTTGCCATCAGTTTTAACTTACCTAAGGGTGAAGCTTCAGGGAGGACCGAGCCATCTGATAGCTCACTGGTGCAGGAATGTGCCCCCTTCCCTCCTCCAGCTGTACAGCCCAGTTCAGGATTTCCTGCTTCAGGTGAAACAGACTTTGGGATATTAATCCTTTTTTCCCGAGCTAAAGAAGAGAGAGAACTGACAACCTTGTTCTGTTTAACCAGCACTGAATGGTTGTGGCAAGCCCCGTGCCAGGGTCCTTTTACTCTTGCTGCACTATTCCAGCGTTCCATTTTCAACTTTCCCGTATCAACAGAAGCAGTACTCAGAGGAAAAGAGAAGGTAGAATGGAAAGAGGGTGACTTTTGTGCTGTCCCTTTTCCCAATCACTTTAATGTCACTCCCCCATGTCTCTAATGTTTCTGGTGCATAGAAAAGGTCTGGAATGTTAGCAACAACACACGGTATGGCAGCAGAGGGAATTGTGGCGAGGGTCCTACACAAGGTAGCACGAGGCCTGCTTTATGAAGGACTTGCAAGCAGACAACAAACAGTTGGTGACTTGTTTTCCTCTACCTTCAATCTAGTCACCATTCAGAAGACTCTGAAGCTTATGAGTTATATTCTGGTTTGGTAAACTATTATTTAACATCTTTAGGTCAAAGGAGGTGATCCTGCCCCTTTATTCTGCTCTCGTGAGACCTCACCTGGAGTATTGTGTGCAGTTCTGGTGTCCTCAACATAAAAAGGACATGGATCTGTTGGAACAAGTCCAGAGGAGGCCACGAGGATGATCAGGGGACTGGAGCACCTCCCATATGAAGATAGGCTGAGAAAGTTGGGGCTGTTCAGCCTGGA